TGCTCGCAAACATGTGAACCTTGCAAACAGAACTTTCTCACACTGTGCGGGAAAGATCTTGTACGAACAAGAACAGAAGCACTTGTCTTGAAACGGCAGCCGATGGCAAGTTTGGCAAATTTTCCAAAAGTATCTCACATTTCACAGCATGTTGGCTTTCTTGGACGTTGATCCAAACAGCATGCGGAAGGAATTTTGTTTTTCCGTGCAGTTTTCCAGCTGAAACGGGTTCCAAAAAGCAGCTCTAGTCCGGGCACCGAAACGGGGCTCCCGATTTTGGCTTTCTTCGTTGGACATACAAGCTCACGCAATTCGGGGCCCCAGATTAGAGCTCAGATTTGGGAGCCATTTCTGGGGCCCAGTTATGCCGTTTTTTCGTCGAGCAGATGCCACATCTGTGTGCACAGCTGGCCGTTGCGTGCAACAGTATATACACCTCGCCAGCTCTGTTTTGCATTTTGCCGGTGTTCCTTCAAAACTCAAAATAACAAGTGGAACGCTCGCAAACATGTTAACCTTGCAAACAGAACTTTCTCACACAGTATCTGTGCACGTTGGAGGTACCACATCGTACCATCATCCAGCGCAATGATGTCGCCGGTTCTGCTACGAAGACACTTCAACTACACCAAACACTCATAGGCGTTGGCAGCACATCAACACAAAGCACTAGAATAGTCTCACTGCAGCCTGCTTCACTGGGCTCACAGAAGTACATGATCACAACACAAACTGACTTCCACTGATCGCTAAGTGATCATGTACTCCTCCTGTGAGTAAGCAGGAGAATCTCGGCTTGGTGTGTTTGTCTTTTCGCCAGCAACTGTAAGACTAGATCCTAGAAATGTAAGCTTGGTCTGTCAGTGCACACACCCACACAGCTTTGTATTGCAGAGTGGTACCGGTAAGAGTCGAACGTCCAGAACCAGTGAGATAAGTCGAAGTGAGATTGTTGTGCTTGGTGCAGATATGCTGTTGCCAATGCACGTTTGATGGTGGATGTGGTACTTTCACACATACGCATTCGCTGTTGAGCTGCTCTCTACTCAATCAGACACATGTGTACGCAGGCAGCGCGCAGAAAGCGATGTCACAGTTTATGGACTTCTATGAGCAAGCGGAAGAAGCTTAGCTTTGTCGGTTTGTTTTTTTGCCAGCAACTATGAGACTAGTTCCCAGTTTTGAGTTGGCCTGTGAAGCGTGCACACATATGTGTGTTGTACAATAAAGAGAAAGCCACGGTCGAACGCTCAGACGCAATGAGATAGGTCGAAATGAGATTGTTGCGCTTGCTGCAGACATGCTGGTGTGTTGAGCAAGTCAGAACTTGGTTGACGTGTTCTTGTAGCAGAAGCGGAGGCACTGTTCGACACGCATTTGTAGGTGTTGCAGATATTAGGAACTCTTGTTTTCCGTTATTTCAGAAACTGCGAGACGCGTCCCGTCCGCACACATACACACGTGTGTGGTAGATGTCGCAGGACCGAAGCTCGAATTCGCAGCAACCGAGGTTAGTGGACATCAGTTCATGTGCTCCTATGAGCCAGGAAAGACCTCAAGTTTGTTTTGCTTATATGCCGAAACTGAGACAGCCTGGCTCCACCTGTTGTTTTGGGCAGCTCTGAGCAACTCTTTGTTGCTCCTGACCGGTCGCTGAGGCTCCGTAATTTATGCTGAACGGCTAACACCGGCAAAGCCTGTGCGCCGCAGCCCTTTGTAGAGCTTCGCTTTGCTGTTACCGCTTTGTAGCTTGTTTGTAGGGACCGAGTGCTACAGCCGTAATCGACGAGGCCCAGTCAAGCCAAAAAAAAAAGCGCTGCCTACGCGCGCGAGTGTGTTTGCATATCAGAAATCTGTAGTTGAAGTCTTTCTGGTAGAAGATGACTTATTGCGCTTGATGATGAGGCGTCCGAACGCCGAGAAGCAGTGAGACAAGTTGAAGTGAGATTGTTGTGCTGACACGCGTTGCCAACCAATACACATAAGTGTGTTGTGCAACTTGGAACACTTTGGAATTGTTCTTGTTGCAGAAGTGGCGGTGGAGTTTGGTGGCGACGTGCTAGTACACATTGCATGCGTTGCAAAAATCCGAAAATCTCGGTTTCGTTTGTTGAAGAATTTGCGAGATTTTTCGCGTCCGCGCACACACATATGTGTTCTGTGTTGCCAGGCACTGTGAGGGCTCCACTATAATGCACACACATGTGTGTTGTAGGCGGTCAATACGCTTTGGTCGACCATCCGGAAACCAGTGGCAACTTTGTTGCATTTGCGTTGGATGATGGTGCGATGGTACTTCCAGCATGCACACATATGAACTTGTTGTGAGGTTCTGGAAATCTTGTTTCCGTATTTACAAACTGAGGTTTATGAACATCAGTTTGTGCAGATCATGTGCTCCTGTGAGCGAGCAGGAGAAGCTTGGCGTAGTCTTTCCGTCTTTTGCCAGCAACTATGAGACCAGTTCCCAGAAACTGAAAGCTTGGTCCGTCACTGCGCACACACATGTGTGTTGTAGAAGGTCAGGACGCCTTGGCCGAACGCCCAGAACCAGTGAGATCAGTTGAAGTGAGATTGTCGTGCTTGGTGCTGATATGCTGTTGCCAATGCACATGAGTGTGTTGGACAACTCACAACGCGTTGGTTGATTGTTCTTGTTGCAGAAGTAGTGGTGCCGTGTGTTCGGTGGTGACGTGACATGGTTCTTATACTTCCAGTGCATACAAACGTTTGCATGTGCTTCAAAAACTCAGGAAATCTTGGTTTCGTTTGTTGCAGAAGCTGCGAGATGGTTTCCCGTCCGCACACACATGTGTGTGTGGTACATGTCGCAGGACCTTGGTTCGAATTCGCAGCCACCGAGGTCAGTGGACATCAGTTGTTCAATCATCGCGTGCTCCTGTGAGTAAGCAGGAAGAGCTTCAACATAGTTTGTGAATCTGTCAGAAGCTGTGAGACCAGCTTGGCTCCCGCGTGCACACATGTGTGTTGTAGAAAGTCAGGACGCCTCGGCCGAGCATCCGCAACCAGTGCGCTAAGTTGAAGCAGGATTGTTGTTTTTGGTGCTGAGTTGTGATTTCAACACATATGAGTGTGTTGTGCGATAAATGAAAATGAGATTGTCGTGCTTGGTGCTGTTAAGTTGTTGTCAATGCACACGGGTGCATTGCGCCAGCCAGGAGCTTTGGTTGGTTGGTTATTTTGGCAGAGCCGGCAACATTGTTGCATGTGCATTTGATGGTCATGCGATGTGGTGCTTGCAGCGTGCGTGCATCTGGATCTGGTTTGTGGCAAGAAGCAGGAATTCTTGTTTCCGTGTTCATAAACTGAAAGATTGCTTGCCATGGGATGCGTGCACATGTGTGTGTGTGTGTGTGTGGTGGAGAGCAACTGTGAAGTTTGTGGACGTCATTTTGTTTCATGGTCATGTTCTCCTGTGAGCAAGCACCAGTTCCAGTACTGCTTGGCTTGTCAGTGCACACACATGTGTGTTGTAGAAGGTCAGGACGCCTTGACCGAGCGTACAGATTGTTGTGCTTGGGTTGCGGCTAATTGTTCCTTTAGCAGAAGCGGTGGCACTGCTGCGTTTGATTGTGACCTGATGTGGTACTTCCAGTGCATACACACAAGTGCACGTGTGGCAAAAATCAGGAAACCTTGGTTTCGTTTGTTGCAGAAACTGCGAGATGGTTTCCCGTCCGCACACACATGTGTGTGTGGTACATGTCGCAGGACCGAGGGTGGAAGCCATCGAGGTTAATGTGCGTCAGTTTGTTCAATGGTTGTGTGCTCCTGTGAGAAATGTGAGTAAGCAGGAAGAGCTTCAACACATTTGTTAATCTGCCAGAAGCTGTGAGACCAGCTTGGCCCCCGCGTGCACACACATGTGTGTTGTAGAAAGTCAGGACGCCTCGGCCGAGCATCCGGAACCAGTGAGAGAAGTTGAAGCGAGATTGTTGTGCTTTGTGCTGATATGCGGTTTTCAACACACAGGAGTGTGTGGTGCTGGGAAGAACCGGTGGCTTGTAAATGGTTAACATACTTTACGAGGTTAGCTATCTGTTTACAAACAAATGTAAAGGGTTAAGTTGGTTTAGCTATAGGGGTTAGCATAGCTTAGAAAAGGGGGTTAGTCTAAGTAACATAAAGGGGTCCCTTATACGTCTAAACCTTCCAAGCCCTGAACATAAAAGCCTCAAACCCTAAACCCGAACCCTGCAAAACAGGAGTCTTTTTTTGCATGCCGGTCGTTCACGGTCTTCCGGCTAGAGAAACTCGTTTAAGGCCGTAGCCTGAGAACGGCTGCATTTCAGCAGATATATAATATACATGGGATGCCGTAGCCTTCTGCATCCCATTCTGCATGCCTGCAGCAAAAGGGGCCGTAGCCTGGAAGAAAGCTTGCTTTCAGCTTGCTGAGTTTTCAGACTCCTCTTCCTCATGCTCCTCTTCCTCAGCCACTTCCTGCTGGGAATTCCAGTTGTCTTCATACTCTGGAGAGGACTGCTCGGTCACGGTAGGGAGAGCATGCTCGTCCCCGGACTCCACGATATTCATATATTCGTACTCCCTCCATGCCCTTCTGTAGTTGCTGCGACGGACATCCCTCTCGTTGTACCACTTGATTGTGCATTTTGCACACCAGTGGTTCAGGTGTGCATTTTTCACTCTGCAGCAGCTGGGGGCACCGCATTCCGTGCATGGTCCTGGCCCTGGCTCCATGGACGAAGTACCACAAACGGACCATGGTCCGTTGGTTCTAGCTCCTTGTCACCCACAGTCCAGCTGGCACCATCCAGCTTCAGGACATATACTCTTTCGATTACCAGCGGCATTGTACCTATATTAGCCTTGAGCCGAACTTTATGGAAAGATCAACAACACGTGCCTGCAAACCATCCTTGAATTCACACTTGCAAAAGCGCCAAAAAGTTCCATTGCAGACATCAACCTTGGCTCCTTTTCCCGGAAAACTCAGCAAGCGAGAACTGTCGAGTAACTCAAGAAGCCTTTCGCTTTCGCGAGGCAGCGGATCCTTGATCCAGCTCTTGGGCCGAGGCCCTCAAACTTTCGGCAGGCTTCGGCCTGTACAGGATGCACTCCTTCAGCGAAGCAGTGTTCTTCAAAATGGGAATCTTCCAGCCCTTCTCGTTCAGAAGGACTGTCGCCAGATTCGGCTCTGAGCCGACCGGGATCTGCCAGAAGGCAGATAGCAAACTTCCGGCTGCAGCCGGGGGTGAAATATACAAGCTTGTGCCCGAGGCCGAATGCCAAACCTCCACACTGCCAGCTGCCGGCTTTAAGCCAACCTTTGAAATCTGATCCGTGAAGGGGAAGATCGTCAGCTTGCCTGTCTTGGCTTTGCCCTCCAACAGACAGCACGTGGGATTCTTCAAAAAGGTCAACTCCTCTTCACAGTGCGAGTACTTCAGGAAATACTCGCAGCAGAGCTCGAAGAACTCTCCTCGGAGTCTCTCTTGGCTGCAAGCCTCCGTATTATGGGGCAGTCGGTCCACAGAGTCAGACACCACTTCGGGTGCATCTCCGCTATACAGATCGACAAATTTCTTGAGCTCGCTCAGAGGCACCTCGACCTTCTTGTCCCAGCTCACTGGGCAAGACAGCGAGAAAGAGCCGTGGCTCTGGCCGATTTTCTCCAGCTTCCAAGGCCAGATGTCCTGATACTTCTGCTTGCCTTTGTACAGGTTCCCCTCTGCGAAGCCTTGCAGCTTCATCAGGAAGGCCGGGTCCTGCATGTTCTCCAAGGTCGCAGGGGCCGCATCAGACGGCCCATCTTTTGTAGCAGCAGCCGGTGTTGCACCGGCACTCTTGCCACCCATCTCGTGTTCGTACAAAGTCAGCAAATTGGCCAATGACCCGTGCTCAAGGCCTTCTTGCCCCGACTTCTCTTTCTTGCACATGAAGAGGGTGCTGCGAACCATCAGGCGACCGAAGCACTCAACTGCCTTGGCACGTGCACTTGCATCCGTCACATTCTGAGTGTGAGCCCAGGCACGAGCAAGAAGCTCCTCCCAATCCTTTACAGCATCTTCCATGCCTTTCGCACAGAGCCTGCTGACATCGCTCTTGCTCAGCAGCCGAGCCACACCGTCTACCACTTTTGTGGCTGTCAGGTTCGTCGCGATCATCGCAGCCCTTGCGAAAGCATGCGATCGCTCCTGCCCTGCAAACCGGAGGCCGGCGACCGTGGACATGAATTCCTCTCCCAATCTTTTGCTTGCCCCATATTTCAAGGAAAAGTCGTGCAAAAACTTCAGCAGAGGTGCTTCGGTTCCTGCTGCATAGAATCTGCAGAACAACCCGCAAGCGGCCACGGTCTGTGGCGAGGCATCCGGCACCGTGGCTGCTACATCAGCTTGCGCAACATCCCAGTCGATGCACAAACCTTGCTCTGCCAGCAACTTTGCTCGGGTCACCATCGCCATGGCGAGCTCCAGCTCGCCTGCCGTTCTTGCAACTCCTTGGGCTGCATTCATGACTTCCTGAACGAAGGAGGCCAGCGAGGGCAGTACTGCATCAACTTCCGCTGACAGCACCAGCCACTCCCATCCATTATCCACGGCCTGCCGAAAGTCCGTAGACAATCGCTGCAACGTGAGCTTGCCGTTGTCCGACACCGTCTCTTGGTCCGAGGGACATGCTGCAATGCAGGCACGGCAAAATGCCGTAAAGTGACTGCGTGCTAACGACATGTATCGCTCATCGCCTCGCACCTCAGCTAGCAGCCCTCCATTCATATCCACTTGCCGCTTGTTGAAACTAAAGGCCTTTTGGCTCAGAGCTCTATCCGTGGATATTTCCATGCAAACACTTCGCTTCAGCTCCATGGAGCTGAAGCCTACAGATTGCACTTGGGCCCCTGTCTTGTGAACTTGGGCTCCATTCAATCCTAACCCTGAGCGATTCGACGGGTGCACCAGGACTTGACCCGGCCGCAGCACCTGCCTGTAGCACTTCCTGCTCTCCTGCAGGATAGTTTCGATCTCCGTCCATCCCTCCAATGCCGAAGCATCTTTCTTCAATGCCTGCTCCACGGCCGTAGCCCAGGCAGGCTTCATCTTTTCCAAGTTCTCTTGAAAAAAACGGCTGCATGGCAACAGGATATGCATTTAATTGTCCGCCCTGCCCCCCCCTGTATACATGCACCCTTGAAACACAAGTCATTTACGTGCCTAACATAGTCATTTCCCTATATAAGAACTGTACTTCAAAAAGTTATGTTAACTTAGCTAAACTTTAGCTAAACCCCCTAACCTTTGTAAATGTTTAACATACTTACACCACTTATGTAAACACTTAGCTAAGTCTCTTAACAGTTGTATTTGTTTATCACACTTATAAGTGATTTGCAATATAGATACAACCGGGTTGCAAGCTATTTAACAACATGCTTGCAATCTATATAAACACTTACAAAGCCACGGTTCTTCCCAGTGGGTAAGTTAAAGTGAAGTGGTTGTGCTTGGTGCTGATATGCTGTTGCCATCGCACACGAGTGTGTTGCGCAAGTCGAAAACTTTGGTTGATCGGTTATGTTGGCAGAGCCGGCAGTATTATTGCCATTTGCATTGGATGGTGATGTGATGTGGTACTTGCAGTTTGCATGCATCTGGAGTTGTTGCAAGAACCAGGAAATAACGTTTTCGTCTTCATAAACTGTGAGATCGTTTGCCATGGGATGCCCATGCACACATGTGTGTGTGGTGGACAGCAACTGTGAGATCAGTGGACGTCAGTTTGTTTCATGGTCATTTACCCCTGTGAGCGACGGATAAGAAGAAGCTTGGTTTAGTCTGTTTTTCTCTTGGCCAGAAACTAGGAGGCCAGTTCCTAGAAACTGAAAGCTTGGCTTATCAGTCCAGTGCGCACACACATGTGTGTTGTAGAATGTCAGGAAGCCATGGCCGAACGCCCAGAACTAGTGAGATAGGTCGCAGTGAGATTGTTGTGCTTGGTGCAGACATGCTGCTGACAACATTAGTGTGTTGGGCGCGTCAGAGAAGTTTGGCTGTCCTGTTCTTTTGGCAGAAGCGGCGGCGCTGTCGCGTTTGATGGCGTGGTATTTCCAGCGCATACACGCATATGCAGGTGTTGCAGGAATCTGGAAAGCGAGAATCTGTGAGGTCAGTTTGCGTAGACCATGCAGTCCTGTGAGCAAGCAGACATGTTCCAGTATTTGAATTGTGAGCTTGGCTCGTCCGTGTGCGCGCACGTGCTTCTTGAAAAACCTTCGGACACCTCAGCCGAGCACCCAGAACCAGTAAAGTATGCTGAAGTGACCAAGTTGAAGTGAGATTCTTGTGCCTCGGGCTGAGGTGCTGTTGCCAACGCACACGAGTGTGTTGTGCACGTCGGAAAACTGTGGCTGAAGCTTTTTTTGGCACAATCGGCGACATCATTGCGCTTGATGGTGGTGCGTTGTGGTACTTCCAGCGAGCACACATATGGACGTGTTGTGAGGTTCTGGAAATCTTGTTCCCGTATTCACAAATTGTGAGATAGCTTCCATGGGCTGCCCACGCACACATGTGTCTGGTAGACAGCAAGTCAGCAGTTATGAGATTTGTGGACACCAGTTTGTGTTGTGTAGTGATCATGTACTCTTGTGAGCAAGCAGGAGAAGCATGGCTTAGGCTTAGTCTTTCCGTCTTTTGCCCGCAACTATGAGACCAGTGCCCAGAAACTGAAAGCTTGGCCTGTCAGCGCGTGCGCACATGTGTGTTGTAGAAGGTCAGGACGCCTTGGCCGAACGCCCAGAACCAGTGAGATAAGTTGAAGTGAGATTGTCGTGCTTGGTGCTGATATGCTGTTGCCAATGCACATGAGTGTGTTGGACAACTCACAACGCGTTGGTTGATAGTTCTTGTGGCAGAAGCGGTGGCGCTGTGTGTTTGATGGTGACGTGATGTGGTTCATTCAGCATCTACACACATATGCATGTGTTGCAAAGATCAGGAAATCTTGTTTCCGGCTTTTTCAGAAACTGCGAGATCGCTTCCCGTCCGCACACACACATGTGTGTGTGGTAGATGTCGCAGGACCTTGGTTCGAATTCGCAGCAACCAACTACCTCACTGGTTCTGGGCTCTCGGCCAAGGCGTCCTGACCTTCTACGAGCCCAGCATCCTCTGCTTGCTTGCTCGCAAAGGTACACATTCATGACACAAACTCATCTCCACGGATCTCACAGTTGCTGCTTACCAGACACATGTGTGTGTGCTGGTGGCGCATGGGAAGCGGTCGCACAGATTTTGACACCGAAAATCAAGATTTCCTGATCTTCGCAACACATGCGGCCGGTTGTCAAAAATATGGTCCCTTTTTGTGTCCCTGAATATAGTACGGCACCTCATATTCAGGGTGCCCAAACAGGGAACCTAATTTAGAGAGCTACCCATGCAGCTGTGTGTGTGTGTGTGCACTCGACATGGCACATCACGTCACAATCTAATGCAACAATGTCACCGCGTCTGACACGCCCAACACATTCATGTGATTTGGTAACAGCATATCATCATTTCAGCACCAAGTGCAACAATCTCACACTTCAGCTTATCTCACTGTTCTGGGTGCTCGGCCAATGCATTCAGACCTTCTACAATACACACTCTGGCGACTCGATAGAGGAGGGACGTTGCAAGCCACACAGGCAGGCCTCTTGTAGCAGGCAGCAGGACGTTCAGAGTTTCTTTGTTACCGTCACGGCATTAACTTGATGAAGTGTTGACGAAGAAGACGTCTGAAGATAAGGAACAGCTGATTCTGGTGTGGCTTTTGCGTTCAAGAAGGCCGTTTTTTTTTTTCGTAATTTTGCACGGTTTCCTTCCGATCAGGAAGCCGCCCAGGAAATGCAGTGGGCATTGGACTTTTGGATTTTGGTGTGCACGATTGTGACGGAACCAAACACACGGGTTGTCCGTTGTCTGGCGAGACTAGAAGTGACTAGAACGGCAACCGGAGCCTGGACTTAGCTCCACCTGTTGTTTTGGGCAGCTCTGAGCGACGGCTCTTTGTTGCTCCTGACCGGTCGCTGAGACTCCGTAGTCTGTGCTGAACGGCTAACACCGGCAAAGCCTGTGCGCCGCAGCCCTTTGTAGAGCTTCGCTTTGCTGTTTCACCGCATTGTTGTAGTTTGATGCTTGGATTGTAGTTTCGCTTGTTTGTAGGGACCGAGTGCTACAGCCGTAGTCGACGAGGCCCAGTCAAGCCAAAAAAAAAAATCGTAATTTTGCACGGTTTGGATTAAGCCTGGATTTCGAGTTTGGGTTTGAATCCAGGTTAGAACCAGATTCAATCTAACGTTTTCAAGTCGGGTTTGAATCTGGCTTACAGCATTCCCCAAAATATTATTCAAACCTTGATTTTTCGAAATCAGGTTCTAAGCTTCGATTCAACCCAGGTTCCCGGCTTCTGCTCTTTATGAAGTTTGGAACCAAACTTTTTGATGCCTTCGAAACCGCGCCTCGTAACTTTGGCTTGAGAGACTTACTGCGTGACAATCATGGAAAACAGTGGTTGCAAGAGCCGAGCCAGTTTTGCTTTTGTCGTCGCAAAGGTTTTCCTTGAGCCAAAATGGCCGCAGGGGTTTCGGATTTTGGATTTTGTGGTGGATTCGCTCAGTTCGCTGCCGCAGGTTTGGAGCTGGTTGGATTTGCTCAGGTAAGGTGGCGGTTAGTCGGGTCGACAGTCGATTAGGTTTGCTTGTGCTGGGTTTATTAGGTTGGAGGTTGGCTTGGGTTAGGTGGGTACATTAGGGTTGTGGTGGTTTCGCTGTTGCTAGTTGAGCTCGACTTGGGCTGGGTCACTTCAACATAGGCGGGTTGGCTTGAGTGGGTAGATATGTTTGGGTTGTGGTAGGTTTGGGTAAGTTAAGTCAGGTTGGAGGGGGTTGGGTTTGGGTTGTGAGAGGTCGGGTAGCTTGGGGTAGCTTGGGCTGGGTCAGGTTAGGTTGGGTCAGCCTGGAGGGGGTTGGGTTTGTTGTGAGAGGTCAGGTAGCTTCGGGTAGCTTGCGTTAGGTCAGGTTAGGTTGGCTGGAGGTTGTGCTGCTAGGTTGGTTGGCTGTGGGTGAACTTGTTCGGGTGGGTTGAGGTAACTTGCCTTGGAGGGGGTTGGGTTTGGGTTGTGAGAGGTTATGTAGCTTGGGGTAGCTTGGATTGGGTCAGGTTAGGTCAGGTCAGGTTGGAGGGGGTTGTGAGAGGTTCGGTGGCTTCGGGTGGAATGGCTTGGGTCAGGATAGGTCGGCTAAAGGTTGTGCTGCGGTAGGTTCGCTTGGCAACGGGCTAGTGTTGTTTGGGTGCGTTGAGGTAACTTACCTTGGGTCAGGTGAGATTAGGTGGGATTGGGTATTAGGTTGGGTCAGGTTGGGGCAGGATGGGTTGGGTTGCATTGGGGTCGCTTCGAACAGGTTAGGTAACGTAGGTTGGGTTCGGTCTTGGCCGCGCTTAGCCTAGGTTGGAGGTGTGCAGTGTGCTGGTTTATGTTAGGTGAAACCTGACCTAACCTACCTAGCCCACCCAACCCCAACCAAACCCAAGCCAAGTACCTGATTTCACACACAATTTATCCCGCAAACCTAACCTAACCTAGCCCAACCCAACCTACCCCAACCCAACCCAACCCCCTGGCAACCTAACCTGTGAACTGTGTGTGCCCTTGTTCACTGAATTCCGGGGGCCAGCACTGAAAGAGCGTTTTTTGTTCAACGAATTTGGTTCACTGAATGTGCTGTTGTCCGGCACCGTGGTGTTCAGCGGGTACCGGGTGTCGCTTTGTCCCTTGGACCAGCAGTCGCAGCTTATTTGGAGGGTCGACCCATTCCCCAGGATGGGCTCTTGGCGGAGAGCTGCGTCTGGCACAGGAGGTTTCTGATGATGCGGGGCGTGAACTGCGTCTGTCGGGCGCCTCCAACAGCAAATTGCGGATGATCCGAGGTGTGAACTGCTCTTGAACCAAGTTGAAAATCTGTCCACTCTCCGCGCCGGGAGCCCGGACGAAGTAGCGGGCGTCCCCCGCGGTTTGGTCCAGGAACCCGGAGCCGGCGAGCGCATCGTCGATCTCGGTCTGGGTGCGCCCGCTGGCCCAGTACTGCGTGAAGGTGGCCGTGAGCTGGGAGTCCAGCTCGGTGCGGGGGTGGTAGGCCGGCAGCTCGTTGGCCACATAGGCTTCCGTCTGGGCCTGGTCGTAGTAGCCGGAGAGGTCCACGTTGCTCAAACCGTCGGCGATCTCCTGATCCGTCTCTGCCTCTGCTCTGGTGTAGAAGTCCAGCAGGGCCGTGATGATCTTGTTGTCTACCTGGCTGCTGGTTTGGTAGTTCGACAGTTCTCGGCCACGAAGCTCCAAACCTCGCTTTGATCCCAGTAGGGCACCAGCTCGCTGGCGATGAGCGCCTCCGTCCGGTACTGGGAACAAATTGAGCACATCCAGTGCCGCGGTGATGGCAGCTCCGGTCTCGAGCTGCGTGTAGGTCTCACTGCACGCGTGGCAATCGGATTCGATGAGGATGGTTCTGGCCGTTGCTCAGGGTGACGAGGGCGGCCGTGATGGCAGCTTGGACCGGCCAGCCCCGCCTGCGACAAGGTGCAGTAACCCGCGAGTGTTGGTCCCATAGGGCCCTGCAGGATTCCCGGCTTGACGGCCACGACGCCGCGATACTGGCGCTCCAGGGCGCTGGGCCCTTCGTCATGGAGACCAACGACGCCACGTGGCGAAGTACTTCACGCAGGCCGAGGTCACGTTCAACGTCGTGGCTGCCGTGACCGAGTCCAAACATTATACTAATCATTACACGGACGCGCAGCTGACCGACGACGGCGACACCGCTGCAATGAACGCAAATCCCCGGCACCTCGATCCCTGGAAGATCGAGATTCTCTATCTCTCTCTCTTTCCCTGCCTCGCCTCTCCTCTCTTCTCCTTTCCTCTCGCCTCTGCCTCTGCCTCTGCCTCTGCCTCTGCCTCTGCCTCTGCCTCTGCCTCTGCCTCTGCCTCTGCCTCTGCCTCTGCCTCTGCCTCTGCCTCTGCCCTCTCTGCCTCTGCCTCTGCCTCTGCCTCTGCCTCTGCCTCTGCCTCTGCCTCTGCCTCTGCCTCTGCCTCTGCCTCTGCCTCTGCCTCTGCCTCTGCCTCTGCCTCTGCCTCTGCCTCTGCCTCTGCCTCTGCCTCTGTCTCTGTCTCTGCCTCTGTCTCTGTCTCTGTCTCTGTCTCTGTCTCTGTCTCTGTCTCTGTCTCTGTCTCTGTCTCTGTCTCTGTCTCTCTCTCTCTCTCTCTGTCTCTGTCTCTGTCTCTGTCTCTGTCTCTCTCTCTCTCTCTCTCTCTCTCTCTCTCCGTCTCTGTCTCTCTCTCTGTCTCGGGAGTCCGCGCGGTTTTTGCAGGCACGGATGGTGGAGAGCAAAACGACGTTGTGCTTCGTTAGTTTTGGATGGCTATTGGTTTGATGTTCTTGCAGAGTGGAACATGTTGTGCATTTTGAAGCTGATGCTCCACGTGCAGCACCGAATTTGGTTGCTGAGCGCCTTTGTGCTTTTGAGCGGAAAACACATGCAACCGACAAGCTTCGTTTTGCTCGCGTTAGACTTGGCTCGATCTGTTCAAATCGCTCAGAACCAAGATTGTGTTTGTTCTTCTTTCAGTTCGGCGTGTCGGAGCATCCTATGTTTCTATGTGCCAGTCAGAATCATTACGCAACCACATTTTGCATTACAGTTTGTGATGGCGTGTCGAAGCATTTTGGGCCAACGTCGGTTCCAACATACCGCTCCTCGTCGAGTCCAAAACTTGCATGGAGGCTTCTGGTGACTAGTGTATCTGAGATTCAGCAGATGAGTCGGAGCTTTGATAATTGTTGACCCATCGGCACCCATCTTAGTAGTGCAGAGCTTCAGACGCTGCAACAGCTTAGTTCTCGGCAACGTGCAGTTGCAAGGGCATCCCGAGTTAGAATGGCACATGGCCGAAGAGCGCCCTGAGAAGCGTCAACGTCTGACCCCCGCCGACTGGGAGTCAAAAGTCCTTGGTTCTGGCGCCTACTGCAGAGTTCTTCTTCACAATAAAGTGCCATTTGCATTCCACCCCAAAACAATCAGAAGTTCTCACGTCCTTGTCACACCACGTCTCCTCTGCCAATGCCTTGAAAGCAAAACGGGACAAAGAGTGCATTTGTATATTTACAAAAAGCAGCGGTCGTAGTTTATGCAGTTGTTTCCTTCCAAAGCTTTTAACGATTGTGTCCGAAAGGAATACGAGTGGTTCGTTCCGCGGAAACGTCATCAAAAGCAGAGCAAATGTCCGCGTCTGGAGCGCACTCACGGGTGGGGCACGGGGTGATTGGGATTTGGGCTCCAGCGCTGTCTCGAGGTGCAAGCGGCATGACGTCGGATGATTGGTTGTTTTTACTTGGTAACCAATTGATAAGATGCTTTGGCAATGTCTAGCGGCAACAGGGCACTACTTTCATTGGCGATTTTGTCAATAAAGTGATTACAAAACAACCGACTGTTTTGTGAGAAGAAAACGGCACCTAAATCCTAGTCGGTTGTTTCTGAGAACGGAGCCAGTTTCTTTTAGAGATGTCTCTCGCGAGCTTGAATTCCAAGATCGAAGCAATTCGAACAGAGGCCTTTGCAGACACTACAACATGCTTGTCGATTTTTCCCTGTTTAGCTTTCAGTTCCCGGAAAGACGTTACGAGGAAGATATAGCAATGCTTCCACAGCTCGGGTGATACGGTTTGGACTACTGGCAAATTTCGTGATTCGGCATGCGGTCACGCTCTGTAGTTGCTCATTCAATGTGCCGTATGTTGAGACCTGAGCTTGTCGCCATCATCCTCGGCTTCTGCGGTTGCGAAAACGCTGATTGCAGCGAAGGCACTTGCCAAGTGCTTAGTCCATATTTCGATTGTGAGTACGACCAGACGGGAGCCGCAGGAGGCGGCAACACAATTGCTCCAGCACATTGCAGAGAACATGCAACTGACGTCGTGGTGAGAGCGAGCTTCGAGCTGCCGCAATCCTATGCCAACGACAGTCAACAAAAGTTCTTTTACCGAGTGGATGCTTTGAACGGCCTGAACGGCAGGGTACCTCAAACCAGAGAGGAATGGTTCTTACTCCGTGGCCTCGGGTATGGTTTGCTGCATGATCATCGAGATTTCGACGCTGGATCCCAACGGAGGAGCTTCAGCTGGAACACCGTTGGCGAGATGCGACTTGTCTTTGAAGTCGCCTCGCCTGCTGCAACATGCGAGTTGTGCATGAGGAACTTGAGTTTGCCTCTGTACAGTGTGAGTGAGAATGATTTTGACGAACTTGGCACTGTTTCGCGATTTACCACGCATTTCTCCATTATGCAGCAGGTGAGACCAGTCGACCTTAACCGTCTGACGCTCGAAGACATGCTGCTATTCGTGGTTGGGTATGTGCAGGACCTCACCACTTTTGCACATGCGCATCTTTGGCATGATTGCCACACAGGCAATTTGCTGCAGTCGCGGCTGCAAGGTGGCACCTTCTATTGGCACGATTTCGCAGGTTCTTCCTTCGAAACTTCCACGCCAAGCTCGCAGGTACTGGAAGAGTTCATCAAGATAAATGGCACCCTTGAGGCCCTGGAGCTCGCTGCAGAAAGACTTCATGCCAAAAGCCTTGCCATTCCAAGCCTGGCCATTCAGAGATGCGATACCATCGACGCAAATCTCGTAGAGACGCGTCTTCGTAAGTTCAATGCAGATCTTCAAAGACATGTGATGCGATTGACCGTGGATGTAGAATTGCGCAAGTCAGTTCTTCGAGCACTAGGCAAGGTGCTTTCTTCTGAACGTCATGAAGAATTGCAGCTCGAGCTGATGAAGAGTAGCTTGGCGACAAAGCTAGAATACATGCAGCTTATTCTGGGTTAAACTGATTCTACTTAAGCCTTGCATGTTACGTTACACTTCTCCCAGTGTGAAGTCGTATTGAACCCATGAGAGCTGCAGCACGTTGCGTAGCGCGCAGCACATGCCATGCTTTCTTTAAGCAGCACTTAATCAGGCTTTGAAGGAGTTGCTTGGCCATGATTGTGAGAATGAGATTGCGCATCACCTGCGAGGCAGTGCCGCCCCAGCGCAACCGATAGTCATTTGGGCCTGTCAACTTCGCAAGGACTACGACTTCGATGAAGCCTTCATGTTCATGTGCAAGTGCTTCTGTCGACGTGTTGGGTTTCCATTATGGTCTCTTGTAACTTCCCAGTCCCAACACGGCATCTAAGATTTGCAGGGTTTGTTGCACTTTTTGTGTCCAGCATGTCTCAGCTGCGCCGCCATAGGTTGAATGGATGCAATTGGCATGAACTGGATTGTAGCGCGTTTGCTCTGCGAGGACGGGTCTACAAATTGAGGTCGCCGGCAATGCATTTAAAGTCAAAGGGGCCATTGCAGATGCGGCGATCTCAGCTGCGCCACTTTCTGAAGGGTTCTGCAGCTGTCTACGCGAGTTTCTGAGTGCGGTTCTGTGTTATGAGTTTATGAGTGGTTCTCCACGGTGTTGGTGAGCGATGTCAGGTGGATGACCTCAAGAAGGCCCTGCGCTTGGAACTTTCGGGCAGATTTCGCTCTTGCTGTCTGTATGTTTGCACCTCTTGCGCCCCATGAAATCAGGCAATCAAAGCTGAAGCGGAATTGAGCTTTGATTTTCCACTGAGCCGTTGCTGAGCCTTGCTTGAGGCTATCAAGAACGAGAAGCCAAATCGAGTGACGTGCGATGCAGATGAAATTGAGATTTATAGCCGGAAGGAGAGCTTTGCACGTCAAACTCTCCCACTCAGGCCTCCCTGTGCCGCATCTCAGCTTGACGGCTTGCAGGATCGGGACTGGGTGAAGGAAGACGAAGACAGTGAAGTCAATCGCGGCACATCCAAGCCCAGCCCTTGGTTTCGATGACTTATCAGCTTAGGGGTTTTGCCGTCGCCCCGCTCAGGGCAGATTGCTACGGATTCGTGCTGCCATCAGCGGACGATGCTTAAGTTGCGTGCGTGTGCCTCAGCAGTGCTGGAGTTCGAGCGCTGCAAACTTGCATCCTTCCATATCTTTTCCGGTCTAAACTCTGTAGGTCGCGTAGTCCTTTCTGTTCCGCATCAAGTCATGTTAGTCATGTCAGTAAAACTGTGGTACCTTGTTCTGTCTGGAGTATCTGGGAGACCTAGAGTTCCTATTTGTTTATACTTTTAGGGACCGCAATGATGTTTGCAGGTGTGCAACCGTGATAGCATGCAATCCTCTGGTACAGTCGTCTAGCGTAGGGTCCTTCAGGTGAGGTTTTTCAGACCTGCTTAGGCTCCTTTACTCTGGCTTTCGCATGTTTTCACCTGGAGAGCTGGGATGATGTTGAGCTTTGGTCAAGGTTTTGTGCATGTAAGATGTTGTCGGCATTCTCTTCAGACTTGCACCTGTGTTCCCGTGGTGTGTAGCTGAAATGTCTCGTTTGATTTCTTGGCTGGGTTGATGGCTGCGAGTGCCGGTGAAGTCCTGTTGTTGCACCATACCTTGACAAAGGACAGGCATGTGCACCTTGAACCTGCTCCAGAATCTTCGGTGCCGCAGAAGCTTTCTGTCATCGCCCTGAGCCCGAGACAGGGATCAGCCGCGCCATGCCGCGCCGGTGACGTCAGCAGCGAGACCAGAGAGTTGCTCAAGGGCACCCCGGGGCACCCCCTTTCTCAAAGAGATGGCGGTCCTCAGGTTGGCCCTCTTCGCTGCGCTGAGGCTTTTAGTGGATGCCCAAGAGTTCGGCATCGGCGTCTATGCGCCCGTCACGTCAAGGAGCCAGTTGTACATGGCCCTCGTGGCCATCTTCGACCTCGACCTCCGCAAGAACTTCGAGCCTGCGCTGGTCACTCGCTTCGGACCGCCAATCATCGACATCGCCGCCGAGTCCGGAGTGCCCTTGCAAAGCGGCCTCCAGAACCTCAGGCCGCGCATCGGCACCAGCAACTCGCAGCCAGACGTCGGTCTGGGCACGGCTGTGGACTTCATGCTGGGTTTGGATGGCGAGGGGCCGGTGTCTGCACTGGTGGGAGGCGTCTTCTCTTCCATCGCGATGCCGATCGCCAGCTTCGCCGCCGTGCAGCAAGTCCCGCAGATTGCCTACGGAGCCACCAGCCCCGCGCTCTCGAACAAGGACACGTACCCCTACTTCATGAGGACGGTGCCTCCGGATTCGATCCAGGGCCGGGCATTCTGGAAGTGGATCGTGCAGTTCCAGGTAGGTGGTTGTCAAAATTATGGTTCCTTTTCGGGTCCTTGTTATAATATACGGCACCATCTATTTCTAGGGTACCCCCAAAAAAAAGGGACCATATGATTTTATGATAACTACCCAGGTCCCCTTGGCGGTGTGCATCTATGCCGTGGAGGCATATGGTCAGGGCCTGTTTCTGGCCATCGAAGAGCAGGCCAAGCTTGCCGGCGAGGCCGAGCGTCTTTCTGGTGTCCCTCTCCGAGACTTTGTCATCGTTGGGTAACATCTCACCATGTTTATGGGTACAAAAAAACCCAGTATAAGGAATAGAAGCGTCTATTTTTGTTCCTATCCCAACCACGAACTAGGATACATGCCCAACAACTTCGTCGTTTCGGAGGCCAAGCAAGCCTTGGATGTCGCGAAAGGCCTTGGAAGTCGTTTCATCCTCTCGGCGATGAACAGCCAGATGTTCACGCTCTTTGGGCCCGTGATGTTCGAGGAAGGATTCATGCAACCCGGCTGGCAGATCTTGGGTTCCGAGGCTGCCACGATGTACGGCGAATTGACGGATGCGGATTTTCCGATCGGCTTCCAACGCTGGAATCCCGTGAGCCAGGGTGCCAAGTACACACTCTTTGAGGACATGTGGAAGCTGATGAACACCAACGATGTGCTCAGCACCACAGCGAGGGCTCGCTATGGTGTTGACAACATGAAAGTGCCAATTGCATCTGCGACCGTTCCCCCAATGGCCGACAGCGACTTCACCGGTATGGTTCTCCCGAAGTGGAGCACCTTCTTCTTCGATGCGCTGTACACCTTGGCCGTGGCGTGCAACCGGCTCTTGAGCCAGGGAAATGCCATTGCCGATATCAAGGGAGAGCTCCTGCTGACCGAGTTGAGGGCGACCACTTTCTCGGGAATCTCAGGTGGCATTGGCTTCAACGAGAACGGTGACCGCCTTGCATTCTACGAACTTCTCGTCAATGAGCCTGTGACGGAGGGCACGACAAATCCGACGAACTTGGTGGTGGGAGCTGTTTTTGATGCAATCACTGGGGAGCTGACCATTACCGGCCAAGACCCGTATTGGATGGACGGGCAGAGGGGGGCAATGCCCCCGGCTGAGCTGACCAACTGCGACCCAGGCTTCTACAAGGAGCCGCAGTCCCGGCAGTGCAAGCCCTGCCCTCTTGGCTTCTACTGTTGGGGTGGCACAGAACCGAACCGCCAGTGTGCCCGCGGAGCGTTCGCGAACGAAACTGGCATGGTGAACTGCACACTCTGCCCCTTTGGCAGCTTCGCCGCCGAGGTCGGCTCGTCTTCGTGCAGCGCTTGCTTGTCAGGCTTCTATTCGGACGAGTTGGGGCGGGAGGCTTGCAAGAAATGTCCGAAGGGAACCTACATGGTCAACACCGGCGCCAGCGTGTGCACTCCGTGTGGGTTGAGCCAAGAGACAGCGGAGAGCGGTTCTCAGGCGGCAACCGATTGTCGCTGTGCCGAAGGCATGTATATGTGCAATGGAGTTGGCTGCCAGACGTGCCCAGATGGCCTCTACTGTGCTGCAGGTCTCGACCCTCCTGTTCAGATGGCGGGCTTCTGGACCGCGGTGACAGGGCCGAACCAGTGCAACTTCAATGTGAAGCGCTGCAGAGACATTCAGGAGTGCCCTGATAATCCTCTCGGTGAGTGCGCTCCGGGTCGCGAAGGATTGGCATGCAACAACTGCCGCGACGGATACTTTCCGGAGGAAGAGGGAACATGCTCGCCCTGCAGCCCGGGGGATTCACTCCCAGCTATCTTGAGTGGCATCGTAGCCGTTATTGTCCTCATCTTCCTGCTCTCCTCGGTGAATGCGGACCTGAACCAGCAGTCACTAAACCTGCTCACGGTCGCCGCAGTGGGCAGTCAGATGGTCATGGCCGTCCAGGCTCTGGGATCCATCCGCCAGCTCTCCATCAACTGGGTGACGCCCGTGCGCTACATCATTGACATGACCAGGCTGCTCACCTTCGACTTCGACATCATCCGCATCTCCTGTGTCACCGGTCAGGACAGCCCCACGCTAAAGTTCCTTGGGCAGCTCTTGGCGTGCCCTGCCGGCTTCTGCCTGGTGATGGTTGCATGGGGCGTTGCCCGAGCTCGTGGCCGCAAGATGTCTCTGGACGCTGTCTTCAACCTCAATGGTACCTTGCTCTTTGCGCTCTTCATCACGCTGACCTTGGCGGTGTTGGGCCCTTTCCAATGCATCGGCAACCCAGATGGCAGCTCGTCGATGGCATCAAACCCAGGCATCATGTGCTACGCCTCCTCGGAACATTGGGTCGTGGTCGTTCTGTCCATTGTTGGTATCATTTGCTATCCTGTTACCATCCTCGGCTGGGCGACCTACACAACAGTCATGTACCCCTCTCGCATCACCTCCGGCGCTGGCCTCCAGCTTGTGAATCGCTACCGCTTCCTCTTCCAGCGATTCAGGCCCGAGTGCTACTACTACGGCTTGGTCCTTCTGTTCCGCAACGCCTTCGTGGCTCTCTTTCCTGTGGCCTTCGTGTCGATGCCCGAAGTTCAGGTCGTGCTCATGGGCGCTTTGTTCGTCTTCGGTGGAGCTCTTCAGGTGAGGAGTTGGCCTTGGCGTACTCCGATGGCCAACTATGCCGACTTGGTGATGACGGCTTTCCTCCAGGTGGTCTTGCTCGGGGCTGCTCCTCTGCTGGAGATCGACAAGGAGCAGTCAACGGAGATGCTGGGCTGGCTGCTTCTCTTCGCCGTGCTCGCTCCGCTCCTCGCTGGCCTGGGAGCCGTGGGTTTCGCAGTGTTCCGCCACTTTACACCGCAAGCCATGTTCGGCATCTTCCTCTGCCACCACAAAGGAGGCGCTGGCAGTCTTTGTCGCCTCATCAAGCTCCTTGTTGCCAGGCACAGCTCAGCCAACGTCTTCCTGGATTCCGATCAGCTGGAGGACTTGGACCTGATCTTCGACACGATCCGAAAGACGACCAAGAGCGTGGTGACCGTCCAGACGCCAGAACTCTTGAAGCGCATGTGGTGTGCGGGAGAGATTGTGACCGCCTACAAGAACAAGGTCACCACTGTCCCCCTCATTTGCGATGGCTTCATCACGCTCACCAATGAAGCCCTTGACATGATCCCAGATT